GTGAGATACATAGATAGATAGATAGAGAGAGAGAGAAAAAAGAGAGAGAAAGAGAGAGAGAGAGAAAGAGAGAGAGAGAAAGAGAGAGAGAGAAAGAGAGAGAGAGGAAGAGAGAGAGAGAGAAAGTGAAAGAGAGAGCGAGAGAGAGCGAGAGAGAAAAGAAGAGAGAGCGAGAGAGAAAAGAAGAGAGAGAGAGAAAGATAACGTCTGCAGACAAAAACAAAAAAAAGAAAGAAAAGCGATTTTCTGTATTCAAGTGAAGACTAGATCTATTTCAACCATGGGAGTTTCATCCTTCTCAAAACAAGAACGTTTGAGATAATAAAACAAAGACTAACAAAAAGTTCCCCAACAAAACTGCATTATATGCCTGTCGAGTTCGAGTATGCCTGGAATCTCGTATGTGCTCTGTGCCTTTAGATTTTTCCCACCCTTTCAAAGTATATAAATATACTCATATTTCTTTTTTGAGAAGGGCGTGGGGTGTGGGGGCGTCATGCATGTATTTTGAGGCAAGAGACATCTACAAATACAAGCATGAAATAATTAAGTTGTTGATCCTTGCCTGTCACACTTTAAGGACACGCAGAAGAGCTTTCTCATTCCCGCGACGTACGGAAATCAAAGATAGTACATGAGGGTGTAGTATCTTTGCGGAAATCAAGCTAAGAGCTCGAAGCGAACTAAAAATTATTATGTGAACAAAACGTTGTAACAGTAAATTGAGCTCTAAAATAGGGCAGAGAAAATTAAGAGCAAGAGTGATATTATGACACAAGAAAATGCTGTAGTATGAGAGTTGTTTGAAATTAACAAATGAGGGGGAAATTAATAAAGGGATCAGTGCTGGACATGGGTTATAATCTTTATAGTTAGACGTGTCAATGGGAACTGTAGAAGTGGAGAAAAGGACAGAGAGTGCAACTGTAACACAAAGCCATCAAATTATGAAATAGATTTCGTTGTCATCAAAAGCAAGAATCTCAAAACCCCCGCCCCTTCCTCACTTTTTAAATTAAAAAACCCAAACAAAACAAACAAAATTAAACAAAACAAAACAACAACAGCAACAACAACACCTGACAACCCAGTCTCTGTTGTTCGTTGGAAATTTTTACTGATTTACTTAGTTCGACTACATACTGTGCCATAAGTTGGCATAAGTCAGTCGCAATCATATCGAAAATGTTGTACATTTTGTCTTGTTCCAACCACTGCCGTGTGGAAAAAAAACAAACTTGTCCGTGTGATAGTCTCGTGCAATGTCTGAAAGTGAGCTCTTTTCACGTGGGTGTGCTCGTGAGTACGTGTGTTCTAACCATGTCAGCTGTCCCATCAACAGTCGTCTAATTTGTGGATCGGTTGCAGAACAAGAATTTTAAGTTTTCCACAATGGAATTTTAGAACGTTGTGATAGTCAAAAGACAAGTGTTTTGTTCCCAGAGCAACGCTAATGGAAATATTTTTGTGCCGCACAGGTGAGAGGCATTACAATAATTCTGTTCTTGGAAAAGGCCAAAACTGTTGTCCATTGTGATACGGTAGGTCACGACTTTCTGTTGAACAACCACGCGGGAGTAAGGTGTGTGAATTCAAATTGGATTCAAATATGTTTGTAGTTTTTAAAAAAAACCTCTTCTAGATCCAGATCTAGATTTAGATCTAGATTAGATCTAGATCTAGATCTAGAATCTAGATCTAGATCTAAATCTAGATCTAGATCTAGATCTACCATATCCGGGACTTAAGTCCGAGATATCAGCTAACCGATATAGCATATGAGAATGCTATCGAATCAAAGTCTCTGTCCCCTTTAACCTTTGCCGACAATAGTCAGGACTGCTCTAACGGCCACCAGTATAAAGTAATCATCTGTACAAACGGAAGGACTTCCGTAACAAGTGACCACCCCAACGAACAAAATATTGAAGAGACCCAACCCTAAGCCTAAACCTTGCCGCCCTAACCCCAGACTCAACCCAAGCCCTAACCATAAACCCTCTATTATATACTCTTACTTATTTCATTGTGGTGTTCTCGTTACGGAATGTGGGTGGTTGGAGGGTGCTCTTGTGAGTGCTCTGGTGGGTTTGCTCCTTCTTTCCTATTAAGCAACTAGACCTAGATCTAGATCTATCGTCTTTATCTCGCCTCATCCTTTTTATATTTGTTACTCCTTTCAAGTAACACCTCTAATCTTCGGCACTTAGATCTATATGACCGTATTGTATTGCAAGTGCCATAACACACTTACTTAAACTAAAAATATCACGGAATTTCTTCCATAACATGACTGACTCCATTCCCAGTAGATCTACTAGATCTAGATTCTAGATCTAGAATCTAGATCTAGATTCTAGATCTAGATCTAAATCTAGATTCTAGATCTAGTTGCGATTTTAATTAAATCGATGCTAGATCTAGTGCTCTGACACAATCATACACACCCACCAATAGTCTGGAACGTTTTTTTTTCTTTATGCACGTTGCACTTCTGTTATTTATACTTGTCGGCTGGAGACTGCAGCCTGCAATGTTTACGTCACTCCTTCGTTAAAAGTTTGTTGCTTTTCTGTTTATTGTCGACTATCTATGTGTCTCAATAGGTTTGGTTTGGGAAGACTTCCTTTGGTTTTTATGTTCATTCATTCATTCATTCATTCATTCATTCATTCATTCATTCATTCATTCATTCATTCATTCAC